TCGTGATTCTGGCAACTATTTGTCAGCCTTTCACATATACATAGTTTTACTGGTTGGAAGTCCGTCCAAGAGCCCTTTCCTTAGGATGTCAAAGACAAATACATTTGGAGTAAGCTAGGGATTTGAAACTAAAGGCTACCTGTCAGCTGCAGCCCAGAATGTAATGGATGCCCGTGGGTTTGCTGCATTCTAGAACTAAATTCACTTCTCCCTTAGCGGGCTGTTTTGCTCCAAGGAAAGAATCCAATTGAAGCATTAAGTGCCTGTGTGTCAGTTCTAATGAAATGGACCAGACGTTGCTTTCTCCTGAGTATTGTCAAATTCATAATGAACCTGATTTCTTTTTCAATTTATTTTCTTTTACATGTACACGTGTAGGTAGGTTTTACTGTAGTTTTTACATCATGATGTGGTACATGCTTGTTACAGTTGATTGGGTATTCCTATGTCACCATATTTAATACAAAAACAAATTCATTTCAAGTTTTTTTCTTTTGGTTAACTCAGTTTTCACACCCGAACTTAGACGAACAGATGCATACATATGTACATGAACAAATAGGAAAACAAACTAACTGTATGGTTAACATAAAACTTAACAATTTAGTTTGGTCTTGTCAGACCTGTTGAAGAAATTAAGGGTGAGACGTTAAAACGTTTAAATGTTTAAACGAAAAACGTTCCAAATCTGTTTATTGAGTTTCCCAAATGTTTAAACAGAACCACCCCTTTTAGAGGTTTGATGTTTAAATTGATGCAATCTGCAGCCAATTTCATGTACTGGCGTAATTCCACTTAGGCCACATTTTATTGCGTAAGTTGTGCGACATATGAAAGCCGATTTTACAAATTTGCTCACTGTTTAACTGTGTGACTTACGCAACAAATTATGGAGTAACTTAGGCAGTCATTTTAGGTGGTGTAAGTTGTGCCAAACGAAGCAACAATGAATGATTTAACCAGCTTATCGTGTTTGGTTAAGCCTCGTCATTGCTGAACTTAACAAGGCTTATTGGAGTAACAAACCACATTGTTGTGGAAGGTAATAGCAAACTTGTTTGGAAGTGAAAAAACTGCGAGATTTTTTGTCCGGTTCCGATGAAGAAAAGACAACAACTTTTTCAACATGGTGGGCGGAGGTGATTCAACCACCGTTTGATGACTGTTGTTATGTTGGAAAGGAACAGCCATCCTAAAAAGCCATTTTTGTCGTCCAAGAAATTTAATATTATTCAAATGTTGCACAGCTACAAGTACGCATTGTTTCGAAATTGATCGTAAGTAAATTGTGCAGCTATGGCATAAATTTATGGCGCAAGGCTTACACATGGCTCAAAGTTACACCACATTTTGTGAAATTGGCTGCTGGCTTCCATTTTATATTACACTTTACTGCTTGGTCATATCAAAAGAATGCCATGAAATTCATCACTGGAACTGTGTCAGCTATTTCCATTGTTTATGATTTGTTGTGTTTAAAGTTTTCAGTGACACCATGGTAAGGGTGAGACGTTTACACATTCAAAACAGTATGGGAAATGTTCGGAACATTTTTTCAAATTACAGGTAAATTGCCATCCTTAGATAAAATGCACAATAAATATCCATCTTTTTTTTTGTTTTGAACTTGCGTGTACCGGTACATGTGCATGTGAGGTTGCCATGTCACCAGAGTAACGAAACCTGAAATGAGAACAGTACTGTAATTAATGTTACTACTTGACTCGAATTTACTGGAAATCCCAGATACAGTGTACGTTTGCCAAAGTACACGTACATGCATATCCGGTTCATAAGTGAAATTGTCACAAAGGCGGATGCCCCACGATTTGCAGGCTCCAAGTGGACGATTGCTGAAGTCGCACAATAACTTCCAAGTAAACGGCGATCAATGTATGTACATGTAACTCGTATGTGCAGTGCAAGTGCAGTGGACGTGGTGTAAACTGAAGTGACGTCACGCTTACATGTAAGAACTGGATAGAATCCAGTTTTTTACTATCCACTTTAATGGCACTTCTTTCTTTTTTTGCGAATTAACCACTTCACACTGAAGGACATGCAAACATGATCTGGCAACATTCACACCGAGGCACGGGTGACTGACGGTTCAAATGTTGGATGCACCCCGACTCACCTCTGAATGACATTTAAACATGCTAATTGCCAGTTTGCTTTATACATGTACTGGTACCAAGTTGGAGAAGTGTGCAGAGGCGGACCTTGTGTGTTGCACTTGAACCTGGCTGCTACCGCTACGCATAGGTGGTTATGGTTGCAAATGTTGCTCTGTGGGTACTCCAGAGAGCTGACAGATGTGAGGTTACAGTAATATTGAGCAATACCAGTAACCTTCCTGAATATTTCTTGGAACTGTGCACATGTACAGGTACCGTACTGCCGGTAGTACATGTACGTAGCGTTCATGTTTTTCTTCATTCAGGTAAATGTACCTATGAAGTCCATCTAAGGCATCTCATTACAAGCTTACCGGGTAGGCTTCTTGTGTACCCAGGTACCATTTCAACTGTTACACTTTTTGGACTGTTTTCTTTATTTATTTGTATAATCTACATGTATGCTTGTGCCACACTTGAACTCAACTGATATTGAATGTACTGGTACTGTACATGTATGTGGCATGCGGCCATATGTCAAAATTTGGCCACTGTAAATTTTCAGCCCAAAATAAACCATCTACAAGTGGTTAAGAGGAGTTCAGTTGCGCAGTGCCACTGATCATGATTTCCACTAGCAAAGCTAATGCAGGTGAAACAGCCTGTAGGTTTAGAAGCAGTAGACAGCTGGAAATGTTCAGGCATGGTTAACAATCAATAGCATGTCTTGTCAAAGATGTACGGTACGTGTACATGTACATTAAACCTTCCAGGTATTGATTAAAACGTCGCACACCCACGTCCGTGAAAATTTAAGCTGGTGCTGGGCTGTCCAGTTTATGGGCCACTGACTTCTGCAATTATCTTCACACTACAGTACATGTAGGTGGTGCACTCCCCTATTTGTTTCATCACCTCAGTGAAGGTCGTTCATTTTGGTAGGTGCATACCGGGTGTATCCGATTGACAAAATCATTTTACCCCCACGTGCGTGTATATGA